TTCAAATAGCCTGTGAAGAAAACCTTGTCGATCTGGAATATGCAGACGACATCGTTCTCATGTTCAAAGAGAAGGAAGAGGCGCAAGTATTCTTGGATGAACTGACCGAAGTCATCCCGTCCTTTGGTATGCATTTTGCACCCACAAAGTGTAAGGTCATGCTTGTGGACGTGCAGTCACTGAACACGCCCCTTACAATCCAGGGAGAGGTACTGCGTTTTGCGTTTTGCGTACCTTGGAAGTTGTATTAGTTCTGACTGTAGTGTGACGGATGAGGTGAATGCACGAATCTGCAAGGCTCGGGCCGCGTTTGCTAACTTGAGACACCTATGGCGTCAGAATGGTTTATCCCTGAATCTGAAGGGACGTGTGTATCAAGCTACAGTACGGGCTGTTTTGTTGTATGGCTGTGAGACTTGGCCTATTCGAGCAGCGGACCTGAGACGTCTTCAGGTGTTCGACAATCGTTGTCTCAGAACCATAGCTCGTATGGGTTGGTGTCAGCGAATCCGTAACGAGGCAGTTAGAAAGCGTGTTTTCGGTTGTGTAACGGGGACTTCGATTGAGAAATGTGTCCAGCACCAGAAGTTGCGTTGGTTGGGACATGTTTTACGCATGCCGAACCATCGTTTGCCGAAGAGAGTGCTGTTTCCATGCCCATGATGATGATGATGACCGTTGGAGGGGATGACAGTAGTAAAACTGCACAATTAGAATCTACAGGGATTATACGGTTGATATATCAAGTTGTAACGGGAACTTTAGAAGACAAGTGAAAGGGTCCCGCCCAACCACAGGGTTTCGTTGTAGATGATCCCATTGAAAAAGCCACCATAATGATAAAGTTTCACAACTGTTTTAATCGATCAATCAATTTACCAGCTATAAATCATGCACCACAGGCACACTGGTTCCAGCTGCTGCAGCTTCAAAAAAGGAGGGTGAGACATACATCCAAGCCTTGGTTAGTTCAGGAACTGAGTAACTACGTATTGAAGGCGACAGCTTTGATGCACGAGCGCCACTGACTGCGAGATTGAGTCCTTTCCGCCAATGGCATTAACCACTGGTGAGTTGAATCCCGGGGTGACCATCTAGAGAGGCGATAGTTGCTATGCCATACACTGTCCATCTCTCGGTCGCTTCCACTCAGCAAAGGGTTGGGCAAAAGGAGCTCTGTGAGGGAGACGGTCTTCTGACATGTCTATGAAGCATGAATAATTCATCTATCGCTGGAAAAGTCCTTCTTCTTAGGACAATCTGGCGCATTCCTAGTTCGGTGTTCTCACAAGACCTGACCAACGCTTCAAGGACACGGATGGTCAAACACTGAAATCTTCATAACAATCTCAAGACTTACATGTATATCATAATTCTGGCGTTGTGCTGTTTGAGTAAAGTATGATAAAGTATAGTACTTCTGAATAACCCTCAGAAAAATCATCACTATGGGAAATCAGAGCGAACTTCGATTGAATATCTTGTTTATGCATACATATGCATCGTGGGCCTCAAACAGAGCGAAACCGGTAGTGAGTTGTCGGTCAACATGTTCATCACCAACTGTAAGAACCGCGTACTTACCGTACAGTGGTTATAGCTGCTACAGTTCCGTTCACCGATGATTTGGGGAGGTGGGGTAGGTAGCTGCGCATTAAAGGCGGGGGCTGATATAATTGATACGTAGATATATGGCTGTCAGTGGACTTTTCATTAGGGGGAATCGGGAAGTGAGCTAGGCATAGAAGGCAACAGCTTGGATGCACAAACGCCACTGATGGCCCGACTGGGCCATATCTGACAATGTCCCTAACCATCGAAGTGGCCAGTCTCGCAGTCCCCATCCAGGAAGACGGCAGTGACCAGCGCAGCTGAGCTTGCTGGTCGTAGCTTTTATACTTGGCTACCAAACCATCGTTTGACCTCCTCTGGCTCGTTTCCACCCTTGACGTGGTTGTGCGAAAAGAAAACTTCGAGGAAGTCTGTCGACTGGTATACACAGCACGTGGTTAAGCCAGCACAACCTATGTAGTGTGATCAGCTCATGTATCGTCTGCGGATTATTTCTTCCGAAAACCATTCAATATACTTCAACATTACTGACTCGGCGTTCCCATCAGACTCGAACAATCCTCCAAAGACATCAGTGGTCAAGCACCGAAAGTCGTTTGACGTCCTTAGCTAGGTTTCTGACCGTATAATAATATGAAACGCAATGCAGCATTGCAAACTCGATCCTTGACGGATAAGACGATGTCACGCCTACGCCACAGGTGATGCAGGCGCACAAAAACTGCTCTGAATTTCCCAATCCGGGTGGGAATATCAACTTTTGCCAGACCACCGGGACTGATACACCTGCCACTTTTACGGATATCTATTCCTGGGTCAAGTCGACATTCGAAGGACAAGACCATGGAGTACCTATGATGCCACAGCCAGCATACCTCCGCCACGGTGGTTTGCACACAGCGTTCGCGTACCCGTTTGAAGATATGAATAATTGCCTACACTTCGCACTCTGCAGGCACTTTCTCTTCGCTCCATATCGCCATCTTCTTTGAACAGGGTTGGATACAGACCATCCGGCCCTTGTGCCTTCTCACGTTTCAGTACGAAAATTTCGTACTTCATTTCTTCTTCCAACGGGCTATTGAGGTTTAAATTCCATTCTCCTGTATGCACCATCTCCAGAGGCTGTGCTGCAGGAGGCCAGCTGAACTGTTCTCAAGGTGTCTGACCCATTTTTCCAGTGAATTAATGAGCCACCTTTATCAATTATCGTCTCAGTGACCGTCGCTTTCCATTACCCGTACAATTGCCATACCCTACTATTACCTAGTTACAGCGAATATAAAACATGTCTTAGCCTCTCTTGCGCCCTCTTTCCCATAATGTATGATTTTACACCAGGCCTCTGGAAAGCAGTACCAAAGAATGGGGTTGATTGCTTGTATGGGCTGTTTCTTACGGTAAAGGATCGCTTGTATATATTTCCCGATTATTGTACGGTTCAACTACATCTCCCAAAGAAACGATCGGCATCAGTGAAAAACGTTCTGTTCAGTTCTAACGTAGGCGAGAAATACATGCCTATCAGTAAAAAGAACGGATGGTCATAAGTATATAAACGCATTCATCCTCCAAACAACGAAAATCTTTAGTGAATTCTTCCATCTCCTGTTGAGAACTAGCCAGGAACAAGGTGCAGACCTTATGAAGCGCCACCGATGAATCTGACAAGCGAAATCAGTGCTTTGTGTGCTCCGCTTGCTAGATTCGTACCACACAACCTATGAGTGCATCTTAAATGCCGCGCAACTGAATTTCATCTGTGCGACCCTAGCTGACGAATGTGTGGAATGACCAGAAGACCGGTTCACTTTGACATAAATCATGGTTAAGGTAAAGTGAACAAAGGTCCATATGTCGATCAAAAGTCTCGTCCCTGTAATCCATTTCGAGAATCTAAAGTATTTCTGTGTGTGACTTCAAGAAATAATATGATCATCTAGGTCGAGTTAGCTTCAATGGGAATTCACGGTTCTAATGTGTTCCTTCTTTTCGATTCCACTGTGAAACTTATTCTGTAACCTTGATACTAGGCGAGCAACACCAAGATCTAGAATGCTGCGAGAAGCGAGTCTACTATGGGGCAGAACTTTGGGAGTTATGGAAGCAGTTAGACATCCTGCTAAGTTTAGTCGGGCTAACGAAGAAGTTCGAAGGGCATGCATTTTTTGTAATGGCAGACACAGAATTCATACCCTACAGGCAACTTACCACTGATCTTTGAGCACATCCAAACATATGACACCTGTCGCGCTGCTAATATTGGGATGCCAAATCCGTGTAAGAAATTTAACCTTTGGAGGAACGAAAGGATAATTCGACGGAATGATGATTTCGAGTTGGAATTTCGCGCCATTGTAAGGAGTATCTGGTGGTCCGTTAATTACACCTTGGAGGTGCATAATGTCGTCACCGCTAGGTTTGATCTCGATCTGATTTTGCGCAACCTAAGACAATGAAAAACCAACGGTTACAAAAGTTACAAATAATCCGAAAGTATCGGTTTACCGAGGAGTTGATCCCAACATGCAGTAACCCTCCATAATCTACTACTGGCTAAAAATATGACAAAGGATACTTTAAAAAGGTAAGACGCTATTCAAAACGCCAAAAGATGCCAAATGAGAACCAATTACCCCGAACATTAAGTGCTTTACAGTCGTCCAAAACACACATGATAGAAATTAAGCGAAAGACTATCATACCATCATCACATATGCACGGGACCAGCATAGCAGGTGGGAACCTGCTAACAGTGAAACCAGGTAACGTGACCTATGTGTACTGGTCTATGGAACAAAACTAAAGAAAATCAGTGTCACAGACATCATGGATATGCGTAGCTCGACAAGTAGAAATTCCGGGGATGCCCCTTGTGTCTTTAGGTTGGTAATTCACCAAATGGGTAGATAAATTCTGGTAAGTAAATTCGAGCTCTAATCACTTGGGCCATCTCGCCCCCAGACTGACAGTGAAACCGCCACTTGACTCAAGGTAGAAGAGTGACTTCGGAAAACCCCGTAACGTGTGCATCCAGGGGGAAGTCGCTCGTGTGGATCCATCTTGGCCAGAAGTTCGAACTAAACAGACGGTGTATTTCTCACGTCGTCCATGTTTTGCACACAATACTATGGATGCGTTAGTTGAAATTTCTGGATAAAGGAAACCAATTATCGCGGGGAAACTCGTTAAGAAGCTGTTTAATAAACCATCTGCATGCAATGCGGAAAAACTTCAATGCTTGGTCGGTCAGTGAAAACCCCCTTCAAAAAAGTGTTGAAACCCTACCCCCGCCAAAAAAACATGCGATTTCGCCTCAACAGGCGACCCCGGAAGGGATTGTTCGGTATATGAATCCCAACATACGGAAGATGTCAGTCCTTGATGATCGGTGTTTTCGAAGCATTGGTCAAGGCTGCTGGGAACATCGGATTAGTAATGCTGAGGTACACCAGATGGTCTTAGGGAGAAGGAACTCTCCCGCGATAGATGAATTGCTGATTAGCTGCACTGGTTAAGACATGTACTCCGCATAACAGAAGACCGTCTACCTCACATAGCTCTTTTTTCCCAGCCCTGTACTGAGTGGAGGCGACCGAGAGCTGGACAGTGTATGACCTGGCAACGAATTACGAAAGCACTAACCATTAAGCTTAGCCGGGGCAACTGCCGCCTCCCTGGATGAGGACCCCGGGACTCAAATCACCAGTGGTTGATGACATTGGCGGTCAATCTCGCAGTTAGTGGCAATCATGTATCAGAGCTATCGCCTTTAATGCGTAGCTACCCCATTTCTGAGTAAATTGAACATGCCTTCGTTTCCAAGGCTTGATTGTATATCCCACTTTCCCGTTTTTCAGTGGTCGAAATTGTAGCAGCTGGAGCCAATGTGCTTACGGCACACTGTTTATGCTGATGAATTGAATTGATTGAAATCTGGACAGGGGGAGTCGAGAAGTAAAGATCGGGCTCGAACAAGGGACCTTCTGGTCGGTAAATTCGCGCCCTAACCATCGATCCATGTCGTATATCTGCCGGAGAACAACGAACCGTTCGACAATCACCTGGGGTCCCGAATCAGTAGCGCTTAAAATGCATCCGCTGGTAGTTTAAGATCGAAGCATACCAATTCCCCCCAAGACAAACAACCGGTGGTCTATTAACCTCTACCCTCCATTTTGATGGACCTCTCAGCTGAGGCTGACTGAGTTGGTCATTTGGGACGTTTCAAAAGATACGTGTAGTAGTCAAGCCAAGCCAATCTTTCATCCCGCGACCATACTGAGGCAGTAGGGCTGATTGGCACCAATTTTAGGTTGAGTTCAACTGATCAAGAGCACGCGCAACTTGCATCTACTGCAGGCGTGATCAAACATCTTTCCTCAGCTCTCCTAACAAGAGCTCTAAAATGGTGTTTCACTAGATTTACACCTCAAAAAGATGGCGACTGAAAAGAGTGAAGCGAGCTTCAGCAGTACCCGCTTTTGAACATAACGACCCCACCAAAATTTGCTCGACAGCAAATACGAAACATAGCGGAAGCGTCGTGCCCCATTTCTGAGTGCAAAACTTGAATGCTTGGTTTTAAGTAAGTGGGAGCTCAACGGAGATCCTCATTATCTGAACCCTTGGATTCAGCGGGGTAAACTAATTGTATGTATGGAAATGCTAAATTAGTAACTGGACTCTGGCCAATAATTGTGGATAAAGAGTTCATGTTCGTTGCAACAGCTATGCATATGCAACATTTTCTGCCCTTAAGCAGCGGATCCTTTTATAAGGAAACTAGACCCATGAACTAAAAATGCCCTCTTTAAAGACATTTTGCCGAAATGTCAACTGCATTGGTATATGTGTCAATATTCCTCTTACAATCAGTAACGTAAGTTCTCCTCACAATCGCAGACTTTGTTCAACTTTCGGAGAAAACTAGGTAGGGAGCTTCTACTCTAAATGTTTCCACTTAGCTAGAGAAACAAGAATGTGCACGCCTCAACTAATTTCAAAACCTTGTCAACCGTTTAGGTTGTAATTTACTCACTCATGCACGCACTTGATGCTTTCTAGTTAACCCTGGATTTCGGACTCCCCACTCGCACCCGAGATCATTACCCAAGCCACCAAAAGAGCACACAGAAGCGCTGGGTTCGCGCAGCCAGTAGGCTGGTACAGACAATGGTCATAAGGTGATACGTGAGGCACCACCCGCACCCTCGAATTCGGGTTCCAGCAAGCGCCGCAAATAGAGTAAGCGGTTAGCATCAGGATGCGAGCCTCCAGAATGTACAAACACATTAGCCTACGAAGTACACACCAGGTAGGTTGGCGAAGTATACAGCAGAGAACTAACATCACCATTCAAAGACCAGTTTGGACTTGACAGCTTGATGTCACATTTGTTCACACTCTGTTGGTCTTCTTCAATGGAGGAGTGGGCATTGAAAGATCTAACCCTCACAAGTCCGGCGAGACAAGTGTCACTGAGCAGTCAAATGGCCTCAACAAGCAAAATAAGATTCGAGTGTTTCTCATTAGCTTTGTCATAACAGACGGAAAACCCTACCAACTGTGACATTAGATTTTGGCAATCTGCGCTTGGTAGTCAGGCCCTAGTCAGTCAGGTGTGGCTCGTGAATAATGCGAAGGATGGCTAAAATACATCGAACGGAAGAGGACGTTCCGGTGAAGACCCAAAGCTAAGGAGCCATACCTGTTGCTCAATATGATGAGCCACCCTTCTCAAATGCATAGCGGTCACTGAAGCCATGTCCACTCACTTCACTCCAGCAAAACACCACCATCATCACCATTGATACCGATAAATTCTGATGCCTAGTTGCTTAACTGCACCAAAAAACACCGCTGTGGCCGTCTGGTCTGTTGGAAGACCCTAAAGGATAGTATTTAGTAAGCTTTTGCAGGAGCACCGAATGTCTGATCTCTTTAGTGAAGTGGCTAAGGTGAGTTCCGCTAGCTCGGCACGCATTTCGTTTGTGGCAAAAAGTCTATCGAGGTGCTGCCCGTGTAAACCCTGACTCACCTGGTAAGCCTTATTAGAAAAACCATGTACGCTGAAACGGAGTCAATCAGCCGCAACCTCCCTTGATGCGGCTTGAGGTGGCTTTTCGAAATCACACACTACATAGATTATCTATGCTGTCGTCCAACCTTTGATTCGTCTGTCACGCTGCTGCGTGTGTGAAGGGCCTAAAATTCGTACGACCGGACGTCCTATCGGGCGTCTACCGGAAAAATGGTGGGTGAGAGCATTATTAGACGATCAGCTTTCTTTATATTTGCCAACTTCTCAAAATCATGAACGCCCTATGTGGACTGAGAAATAGGCACCCAGGCTACATACGCGTGGTCTGAAAATCCAATGAAAAGTCGATACTATTGACGCCCCTGATCCATGACATATCAAGCAGGCCTATCTACATAAGTCTAATCTCACCACACTGCGGTCAGTGTGGTTTCGGATAAAAATTACCCATAGAGCGAATTAGGAAATACAGGGCAACCAGGTTACCTCATCGCTCCGAAGTAGTTCGGCCAGCTCCTTCTGAATACGCTTGGCCGCTATGCTGGACATAGCGGGCCCTGACAACCACCGCAGTCAGCGTTCGGCCCAACTGTGCAACCGCGACTATCTGAACACAGGACTCTGATTGGTCCAGAATAGCGGTTCTATGGGCCCAACGGATTGCTTAAGGATCCAACAAAACTGATCCAGGTTGAGCAACCATCATTCAAAGTTATAGTAACGGTGAGCTTCTGGAGCTGGTGAGGTCATTAGTCATTCTTCTGGGACTATGGAATGCACAGTGGGCACTGTTCACACAAAGTCGATGGGAAGACACAAAGACAAGTGGCAGTAGTAGTTGTGGGCATAGTTGGGGTAATTAGCCTGGCATTTTCGTTCTTTACTCCGCTCTAGTGTTTTTCATCTTCGCTTACTCCTTTTCCTTTTGTTTCTCTTTCACCTTTTTAATATACAGAGGTCTCGATATAAGGCAAGAAAACGGTGGAAATCGTCAAAAGGCTGTTACACAGTTGAACAAGAGGATTCTTTCGCAGCTACCATCAGTGTAGCAAGTCCCGAGTCAGTCAGAGGTCGATACTTCACAATAAACTAGCTGGCAGCTGGGCGCATAATTCATTCAGCCTAAATTTGAAGCCAGTGTTTTCTGGTAAGGATTGCCTCAGCCGGGATCGTACTCCAGGCTGGCATAACACTTGTGAAGCATTCACCCGTATAACTAAGGAACAGTTCGATGGTTTACATTGGAAGTGGCCCCCTAAGTATACTTACAGTCTAAGGGTAAACAGCTGTTTTTAGGTGCAGGGAGTTTCATGTGATTTCGCCCCCTAAAGCGTTGTCTGCAAGAAGTTCTTGACATTCAGGAGCGAGCTATCAAAACACAGGAGCGGAGCTTTTGTTAATGAAGGCTGTAGGAGAACAGAAGCCTGTCAACGTAAATTCGATGGACAAACCTGGTACATGTTACTGAATCTTGATGAAATTATCCAAATATTTGTGGAATCACTAGCGATTGTCTTTCGCGTGAATTCACGACTAAAGTTGAAAATCATATTTTGCCGCTCTCTGGAAATGTATTTGGTTCCTATTATTTTGTACACTGCATGCGTGAGTACATGCTAAACGGTATAAGTCCCATATAGCCACGCTTAATTGTGTTTGCACTGCACCCGTTTTCCCGTTTATTCACTGTATACTTCATTCAAAGCACGAGCGCCTAAGTGAGCAGATTTCTTTTGTTTTTAGGCTGAGCCGTTTTCTGTTTACGTGAATCGACGTCCAGGTGCCATTGAGTTTTCGCAGAAAAAGACTTTTTCTTCTTGATACAATTATTGTGCTTGCAGCTACAATTTGGATCTCTTGATTTGAGGGCGTCAATTTCTGAATGCGAGAGTCTGTATTTATCCCTTTCCCGATTAATCTTCCATTTCGCCGAAATTTTAGCTTATGATTTAAGATGGGTATTGAGCCGCCGATTCTTAAACACACTTTAAATTCTTCTGAAACCATAATTTGGACAAAAGAGGCGTTAACTCCAAATTTCACAGTTTGATAGCCCCTTTGAGAAAACCCTTGACCTACAAAGACAGTAGCAGTTTTGTTAAAGTTGGTTTGGGCGTAATCAAGGTCCACATTAGGAACAAAATTCCTCTTTGGTAGATGTCATGGCTCAGCGTGTCTCCATAAGGACCGCAGAAGATTTTGTTCAGAAATTGGTTTTTTTGCGTGTTTTATTCTTTACTGGATTTAAAGACACGTGAACAAATAAATCATCTTTGTCCGTAAAAACCCGAAATAAGGTAGTCATTTGTAATGTATGTACGGAAAGGTTTCTTGTGGTATCAGCAAGCGTCCCGCAAGCTAAACCCAAAGAATTTATCGTGGCTTGCAAGTTCGGTGGGCTTTCACGACGGTCAGCACGTACCTTCACCGGTACATTGGCTCCTTGGTGGTGCGGTGGAACGGATTGGTCATTTATGGGCAAAAAGGGTGCACAGCACAACGGATTGCCGGCGTTTGGGAATTTTGTGACAATCACCGGATCGGGAGGACCTTGGAGGCACACGTGCCACGGTGGGTCTAGAGATATGATAAACTAAGTGCAAGCTATCAGACTGGGTATAGCATTTGTGGTACTGCTTTGGCTATGCATGGGTTCATGGACATTCTCGTTAACAAACTTACGCGATGAGTCAGTCGGAATTGTAAGAATATTCAGGGTTGACGAAGGAACCGTGAAAGAGACCAATATGAAGCAAGAATGTTCTTGGGTCCATCGGAGGCTCGGCGTGTTCCGCCGCTTTCATTCAGTAGAAGCAATAATAAAATGATACCTTGGCTTCGGATTAAAAGTGGGGAAGATGTTCAGTAGGTAAGCTACAGGGCTCCATGGCATACGTTAGACTGCGGGTCATAGTTGCACGCGGCTAATAGTGGTTACCATTTCTGCCCACTAAAGTGGATCTACACTACTTGATCCCAAAACGGTAATCAACATTCAGGTGGAAATGTCGGTCAGTGATCGGCAAATGGAGGCAATTTCTGAAAAATGCTCTTTTTGAGGTTAGCAGTTCATTGTTATTATTGTGTACGTGTTATTCGTGCGTATGATCAACTTACCAGCCCCTTCTGACTCGTTTGTTTTCCGTTCGTTTCACTTGCCAGTGGCTGCAGATTTAGTGCAACCAGTCGTAAATCGAGACAGATTGGTGCTATTCTTACCCGCCCTTTGAAAAGCCATTAAAGATTAAATTCTGAGAGGTGACCATTTCTCAACGAATAAATCTAAAGCTAGTCCCACAACTTGCTGAGTCATAGCACTACACATGCGAGGCTGAATGCGCTCCAGAAATTACGGAGAGAGAATAACAAAATTTCCACAAAAGCGAGGCAGCCCATGGTGGGCTTTGGTTTGTGCACACATCCGACAATGTTCAAAGAATGTACGCAATTTTTCATTTGACACAACAAAGTTTTAAAGAATCTCAAGGCTAGGTGGTGCAAAATATTCATGGACCTCAGCCTGTCCGTGGCGTTTTACGTAATTGTCAGACACCGATTGATTACTTGTCTACAGTGCTCCTTCGATTGTTGCACTCACCCATCTCCGATTCTTCCCTATTCGACTGGGCTTTCATGACGCTCAAGCTTGCCTATACTGGTCTCAAGACGGCTTTCCGCCTCCACGTACATGCCCTGTATCTCGGCAGAAAAATCAATTTTACCCCGGAGTAACTTGCAACCATATGATATTTAACCAAATGAGCACCTCCGCGCAAACTACAAGTTTCTTTCTCATGCCCTTGATCCCAGAGCTTTTGCTCAATTTTGTAAACCAATTCTGCTGTGGTTTGCAGCATTCTGTCCCAGGTTCGCGTGCGCCTGATAAGTTAAGATAACGTCGCCACTCCCGTCTCTAAATGGTTGTTAGACCCCGGATCCTTATCGTCCATCCGCCATTGAGTCCAAAAAAGCGCCTCGCAGCCAAAAGGCCCAGCACTCAGTTCCCTCACTATTCACACCCGTCCGGTCGAGCCCTCGGAGTCACTTCAGACTAGTCGGTGGTATCAACCGATATCTCTCTCCCTGTCGCACTCAAAGGCCCTCTTCTCTGTCCCATGCTAGAAAAACCTGTGATTCCCACAGACCTCATTCTTGCAGCCCGTGTGAATAAGCTGGAGAGCGAACTAGCTTACTTTCGAGGCATACAATTAATTGCTTACGTTCTGACTCCCGAAGCAACTTTTGGTTCGTCAAATCTTGAAAAGCGTCAATTCCCGTTGACACACTTGCTTCTGATCTCTGTCAACGTTTGGAGTGCCGTCGTCAGGTCTTGATTGCAATTCTTTTGATCGCATCCCGCCTCAACTCAGCAAACTGCTTTCCTAAAAGTATGTAGTATTATTGGCACCACCTGGACAGCTTGACAACTCAGAAAGTCAAATTCATCCTTGCTTTGCTCAATATTATTGCGATTCAACAATGAAGGCGATGCCGAACATCTACTGGCATCCCAGGCACTCTTTTCTGCTCAAAAACTCCAAACCATGAACGTCAAAGATGCTCATACTCGGTTGCGAAGGCAGCTTACTAAATGTTGAACATCCAAGTCCTCAAAGTAGGCCACTGAAAGCTGCCAAATGGAGCCCTTTCCACCCATGTGCAGCAACCAATAACCTTGGTGTCACTCAAGCCCAGAATTCTCATACGAGCAACTCTTTACGCAGCTACCCAAGCCGAATTGCCGTTGACGCATGTGCACACTACAGATGGGAATCCCTCGCTTCAAATATCTGTGTGCTGAGGCTGCCATACGGCCCGGCCTTCGCGTATTTGCCTCAACTTCCTTTGGACCCCAACCGTCCCGAACAACGCTGAGGCCGGTTCCAGGCCAGTCGGCCTCCAACGACCCCTAATAATGCTACAAACGACGTATTATCTCAAATTCTCAGTGCTCCATCGATGATTCTTTAACCTCGTCAGATTGTGGCTTTGGTTTGTGCCATCACGTTGGACAAACCTGCCTGTCGGCTCCAGTCTCCCCAAGCCATCCTCATGTCCATGCACCCCCAATTCTGCCCTTGGGTACATCACGATGTCACCTCTGACCCTCACCGCGCCAACAAGATTAGGTGCTGATGTAAAAGATTCGTTATCTCATCAGCGTGGGCATGAAGCTGCAGCCGACGATGACATCACATTTTCTTCCTACAGACCCTCTGGCCTAATGGAACTTCGTGTCTCCCCACCAAAGCGCTTAGTCGGGCTCAACCACCCGCCTTCCAAGTCGCGTATCCCGATACCCGCTCTTACACCAAATCCCTGAGTTCCTTTGCTGTTCGTCTACCAACTTGACCATACCTCGGATTCTACATACGATCAAATTTAGCCCCTTGAACCGTGCGGACAAGGCCTTTGGAAGGATCTCCGACCCACATCTTTCATTACCTTATCTTAGTCCCCTTCAAGATCTGACCCCTTGGTCACCTGCGTACTATCTACCTAGGATCCTTTTTGACAACTACATGCTCTATCACGGTCTCCGCCTCTTCCGAAACCACCTTCAGATCCACGTCTTTAACTGTAC